GCACCCATTGAGCCAAGACAGGGCTATGGGTCTCTTAATTGTCCCGTTTATGCTACAGCTGTAGGTGGTACTGTGACCTGTGGGAGTTAGACTAGTAGTGATGGGCGGCTATGCATACCCCATTGAGTTCACAGTCACTGTTCTTGCACCACGACCCCCGCCCTACGTGAGACAGACTCAAGTCCCGTCCGTTTACAGTTTGGCATACAACACTTGGGTTGGCTCGTGCACTCTGAGTACGCGAGAGACAGGCTCTGGGTGTAGATGATTGGATAGCATGTGCAACTGATAGCCCTATCCAGTTGGTGTAGAAGTCCCTTACCGTCCGTTTACAGAGTACAATACAATATATCCACAGGTGATAAGTATATATATATATATCATATCTATGTACATACGCATCATATATACATGCATACATACACATGTTTTACAGTGACGATACAACATACCGACAGCTCCTTCCCAAAGAACTGGAAGTGTGCTTCCACGAAATCGGCCGAGAGATACTTGGAGAAGCCTTTGATGACATGCCACCGCACATAATCCTTCCACGCAGCCACGGTGTCATCGGTCACAGCCGATACAGAGAACTCTAGACTCCTGGGGAGGAGATAGGACAGACATACAATGGGGGATGGATGAACACACAACCACAGAGATGGGAAAGGGATCGGACAGACATACAATGGGGGATAGATGAACACACAACCACAGACAACTCTAGACTCCTGGGGAAGAGATAGGACAGACATACAATGGGGGATGGATGAACACACAACCACAGACAACTCTAGATTCCTGGGCAAGAGATAGGATAGACATACAATGGGGGATGGATAAACACACAACCACAGACAACTCTAGATTCCTGGGCAAGAGATAGGATAGACATACAATGGGGGATGGATAAACACACACACACTTCGGAGGAGTGGCTCACTTCAACACACACACACACACACACAGACACACAGACACACACAGACACACACAGACATATATGTACAACACACATACACACAGACACACACACAGACACACACTCACACATATATATAATCACACATACACAGACACAGACACACAGACACAGACACAGTCACAAACACAGACACAGAATATATATATATATAAATTTATACTATCACACGTACACACACTGACACAGACACACAGACACACAGACACACACACATATATATACATACATACATATATATACATACATATATATATATAAATATATATAATCACACATACACACATACACAGACACAGACACATATATATATATTTAACACTAAACACTAACTGTTATGGGTTGTCGCGACCAAAATGAGGGGTAAGATAGTACAGACAGTACACTTGTGCAGCGGATGTTAGGCCGAAAGGAAATACGTAAGTGTCCGAGTGTGTACATATACAGTGATGCTTAGGGAAGTGGGAATACGACACAATTGCAACATTCGTTAGTATATGATGTACCATGTACACTATATATAAATATATAAATATAATCAGATTTACAACACACACATTAGATTATGCTTCTACATGTAAATGAACACGCAAAGGCACACACGCACACGCACACGCGCGCACGTGCTTATACACCCACCCATCCACCCACACACATAGATATATACCTCGATATATTTATAACTATACCTTTAACTAAATAGCTATCTCTACATATATGTATACATGGCTGTCCTTGGTGTACCCATACGCATACAAGTACAACCACACACAACCACACACAAAACAGACACAACCATACTTATACATGTAGAATAACAATACACACACGACAGACACAACAGGGACATATATGTTCATAGGTGTAGCGGTCGTTCTACTGTGTGATGCGAGCACCTACATAGGATTGGTCAGGCAGATGATCTTGCACTTCTCGAGACATAGACAGTCTTTTCCCACCACATCAAAGTAAACAGGCCAATCACAGGCGGCTAGAAAATACCACACACACGACACCCACAACAGCACATAACAGAAACACATATGTTACCATACACAACAGGGACATATATGTTCATAGGTGTAGCAGCCGTTCTATTGTGTGATACGAGCACCTACTTAGGATTGGTCAGGCAGATGATCTTGCATTCCTCGAGACTTAGACAGTCTTTCCCCACCACATCAAAGTAAGCAGGCCAATCCCAGGCAGCGGGTAAGTCTCTGGGTTCGACTGGGTTGTATAGCCTATGTGGCGGTAATAGTGGGACAAGGGAGACAAGAGGTGTGGGGATGTGAGGATTTAGGAGTTTAGGGAATTAGGAAATTAGGGCAATATGGATGTAGGGAATTAGGGATTTAAGAGTTTAGGGAATCAGGGAATTGTACATTTAATGATATGGGATTTAGGGATTTCGGGTAGTGGTTAGCCTGTGGCTTGATAGTCACGTAAGATTAAATTGCTCGGGGCTATATAACATTCGTGAATCGAAATAAAACGATAATGCCCGTACAGCTGGCGCGCTAAAGGTGTGCAACGATACTTTAATGAAACCCTGTGTGTAGCTACGCACGCTCGCTATGGCGTGTCTCAATACGTACAAAGGTGTGTACAGGTACTGCAATGGCACATCACACTCATTTATACACTGTGTACACGCATGCATGCATACATACGTACTCTAATAACACAACATGCTGCCATTTATACACTATGTACACGCATGCATGCATACATACATACTCCAATAACACAACATGCTCCCATTTATACACTGTGTACACGCATGCATGCATACATACATACTCCAATAACACAACATGCTCCCATTTATACACTGTGTACACGCATGCATGCACGCACGCACACTTCAGTAGATCTTTATGCACGGTGTACACGCATGCATGCATACATACTCCCATTTATACACTGTGTACACGCATGCATGCACGCATACTTCAGTAGATCACGATTCTCGGTATTGGTCTTCGCCACTTGTGCTAAGCTCAGCTCCAGTTCCATCACCTTCTCGGCCCTCTCCTTGGCATTATCGAAGCCTGCGCAAGAGTATAAATAGACATACGAGACAGTGTTTTTAGGGTTTTAGGGTTTTAGGCTGTACGCGATTATAATTAGACATTCGTGACAGTGTTAAACAGCACACATCTGATGGGACAAGATGTGGAAACAGAAGACAGTACGTTATCAGTACACCTCATCTACACGAACTAATGCTTCTGTGCATGATTAGACACTCAAGACAGCGTTAAACAGCACACAACTGATGGTACAAGATGTGGGAACAGAAGACAGTACGTTATCAGTACAACTCATCTACACTGATGATCTAATGGCGGCGATACGCTTGGGTTGACACAGCGCAGGAAACCCTAAACCCTAGTGCATGGCTGTAATATACTCACCTGTCATGCCAAACATCTTCTCCATATGTTGGACATACGCCTTTCGTTTGTCCTCCTGCGAGTGAGGGGTAACAAGACAAGTGCGTTCAGATGTGTCATGACAGAGAA